ATATATATTGATTTCAAAGTGTGTATTTCTAATAAAGCCTAGTCATCATTCACTACAAAGACGAATGAATATCACGCCAAGTTTGCATTAAATTAAAAACGAAAAACGATATAAAAACTTTAAAGACCGAGATGTGTTGTGTTTGTAATCATTATACACACGGCGTATATTTGATTCAATTCCATCTCTTTTGTGTGTGTTTTTGTTTAAAATTTTGGTTTTGTTCTTGTTCACTACTCTCTTCTATTGATTTTCTTCTAACTGATTATGTATTCCTCTTGTTTGGACTATCACTCCAATGACCTATTAATTCTTGCGAATTGTCTCATTGAGAGAGAAGTTTTTGGTGTAAATTAATCAAGTTTTAAAGTATGTGTTGATATTATGAAGTCCAAAGTATTTACAATGGCCTGAAAAATTTTACTCTGTTCAATGAGATAAGTCACGCTTCGTCCTATTTGGGATTCGTCAGCTGGATGTACATATATCTCAAGTAAGTGATAGTGAGACACAACCCTAAAAGTGTTATCCGTTCGATTACTGGAATCAAGTCTCAGTAGGGACAACACTTACTAGAGAAGAAGAAATATCCACAAATCAACCTTAAGCCATTGGGAAAACATCTCTACTTGGAGCCAAGTTGTCACGAAAACCGAGTATTTTACTCTGTGTAAAATTACTCGGAAGGAAATTCAAAATAATCATAACGGTGAATAACAGGGAGTTTGTCGTCGTCAAATTTTATCACTTATGGTAGTGCTATTCTTTTAGCTTCGATTATTATTATTTCCTTTAATTCCTAGAGGAACATAGGGCTTCAGCTGCACGGCTCCAATGGGTTCGGTTCTCTACTAAAGTTTTCACCTGGCTCCAAGTCCGCCCACATGCTTTCATCTCCCCTTTTCACATGACCTCCTCCAAGTCACCCTCGCACTGACGAAAAACTCGCCGCTTTTCTTTCTGGTTCTACTCGAGCGATGGCTTGTCTAGTGATGTCACTTGATGGTTTCCTCAGAGTATCCATCTTCGTTCTTCCTACCTATTTGTTGCACAATCGGTTCCTGGTTAGTTTGCTTCCAGAGATCCCTGTTGCTGATCTTTTCTGGCCACCTGATCTTGAGTACTGAGCAAAGGCAGCTGTTGATGAAGGTCTGTAGTTGAAAATCCGGATCTTATTTTTGATGCTGAGTGCTGTTGACCTCCACACAGACTTGAGAGCTTCGATTACTAATATGGAAATACATGACAGACATTATCCTTGATATTAGAATAGAAGGTAGGCACTTGGGTAGAGTGTAATTCTATCAGAGAGTAAATTTATTTGCGCCAGATTCCCTGTCTACACTTCGTCAAACTTAGTATACTACTGATGAGTTTTCCCTCAGAACCAGGGAATTATGTGTACGCTGTGTTAGATCACTTTTGTCCGGATTACAAGAAATCATTGTCTGCATCAGTAGTCTGAAAGTACTTATACCAATCAGAAGTCGTAGACACTGTCTAGGTTGATTCATTCTAGATAATGTTGTAAAATATTTGAATGAGACATTTCTTCTAGCTAAGAGTATTTGGTACTCAATCTTTGGTAGAATTCTAGTAACCATTAGACTGTTTTCAGAAATGGACAGTTTCCACTATGTGATCGAAAATCCGACAGATCGTCTGACTACCCATTAAATAAGTAAAGAATTTGAAAATAATAGGGTGGGAGAATGAAATGATAAGGCATGAGTCAAGGTTACATTTGAAAGCAGCTCACTTAAGTAATCTATTTTTCCACACATTAGTCCGTTTGAAAAATGAAACCAAAGATAAACCAGTTAAATTTTTAAGAGTTAGACCCCAGAGACTGTATCTATTTCAAGTTTGACCAGGGAATTGATTTCAGGCAGAAAACCGCTGAAATTCAGGGAGTACCTACTGCACAGCCGTTTCGTCCTAGTATGTGACCCATTGGCAGTATCCACCCACCAACAGGATGCCGACCTAGGACTTTCTGATTACAAGGCAGTCAAGGTTTTACACCTTTGAGACACGATGAAATGGCCTACGAATTACAACTTAAACCGAAGCGTGATTTTGCTGCGACCATCAGCCAATGTCATCGGCGAGTATCTGTCCACACTACCGACCGGGTGGATTCCGTTGGTCACAACTTCTCAGGTGAACTCCAAAAAATTTCATCCTGCATCTAGTCACTAGCAAGCATCGAAATAATTTTCAAGAGTTAGCTTGTAGGAATACCAAATACTCCCTGGTTTTTAATGCTTCTTTAACTGATATCAATCCGTGATCAAATTTGAAGCCAATTATTGATTAGAGGTAGACTAAACTGTCAAGTAGGCTAACATATTCACTTGTATTAGTTGACTCAAGACTTAAACTATTGTTAATTATTCGGCCAGATATTATATAGCGCAAGATAGATATTTCAAATTCTGCTAATTTATAAGTCTTGCTTCGAATTCTTATTATTTTCATGTTAATGTTACTCCCACTTCTGAGAAAGTAATTCAGTGAATCTGCACACTGTATAGCTTGAAAGTTTGCGCACAAATTATTCATTTTGTTGGTTAGCTGTTGAGGTTTGATTTTTCTATATTATGCTGGTGGATGCTTCAAGTAATGAAAATAGTTGATAGATTTGATCATCAGGGACTAAAAAGACAGTTGCAGCGAAATCATCAACTAAGCTGTGCATTCGTGTATTTATAATAAATGGGTAGGAAAGTTCCAGAATAACTTCTGGTCAAGAGTCAGATTAATGGAATTACAATTAGGAATTAAAATGCCATAATAACCAGGGGAGGGGTGGATAAAGCTCAGACAAAGTAGCATCATAATAACTAAGAAGATTGACGTATTGTGCAATTAGGGGTTAGAAATGTAGAAATAACAACAATAGACAGGATGTTTGGATAAAAAATCTAGTGGGACTATAACTAATGTGATGAATAATTGTTTATGCAATCAGGGATTAAATATGTAGAAATAATAAAATAACAAAATAAAGAGGGAGTTCGGACATGAAAATATAGTAGTGTAAATAGGAATTAAGAAAACTTGAAATAACATGAATTGTTGTTATTTCTACATTTCTAGCCTCTAATTGCACAATATGTCAATCTTCTCAGTAATTCTTTTTCCTTCACGTTCCCCAGTGAAGTACAGGACTCCAAGCAAGTGGCTTGAAGTTTCTGTAACAGCGTTTATTTTGCAGGATAGGATTTCTAGCCTCATGTCTAACCTTTCCTCTTTACCAGAATTATTTCTGGCTTAGCCAGGTAAAGGAACGCGTCGGCCGTGGATCAAACCCCGGACATTGCGCATGGTGGGCGAGCGTCCTAACCACTACGCCACCGATGCACCTCACTAATTATGATGCTGCTTTGTCGGAACATTATTCGCCCCCCTGCTTATTATGGCATTTTAATTCCTAACTGTAATTCCATTAATCTGACTCTTGACCAGAAATTATTCTGAAACTTTCCTACCTATTTATTATTATAAATACACGTATGTACAGCTGTCTAGTTGATGATTCCATCAGAAAGACTAATTTTTTTCGCTGCAACTGCCTTTTTATTCCCAATGATCAATTGTGTATATTTGGTGATCTGATCATCACTTGAAAGACTAATTCAAGTTGGCGTAAATGCCTAAAAGTTTTCAGCTTCAAAGTGGGAAAAATCCATAAAAGATTGTCATGAAAATGCCTTATCCTTATTTTTGAAAATTAAACCAGTTTGAAATTACGCCACATTTTTGTGCATTTGTAGTTTTTCAGAAAATTCAGACTATCTTTGTAATCGAATTCAACATTGGAAAGTAAAAAAGTGAAACTTTGCACCGATGTGCAGCAGTTCAAGTCTCCACACTCCCTCCATGTAGCACACAAAGTAGGAGAATAAAGTAAAAAGAAACGCAAAATAGAGACAGTAAATGGAGATATGAGGAAAACAGAATAGTAATATCGAAGATCAATATAGTTTTATTGGGTATTATAAGTCACACGGAGTGGATGCATCTGCGCTAGCCAGTGAGAACGATTTTGAGCCATATCAACAATTGTCTCCAGATTTCATTGGTTTTTACCGTCCTGAGGATCCCAACTAGTCAGTAAGTCTGCACCTACCTACTTGGCTGGATGGCTTAAACTTACTGTTGTGGATTTCATTGACTGATGAAGTGATGTTTTTATTTGACCACCACTACTTTTCTCTTTTCCAGCCTGATCCGATGTCAGCTAACATTTCCCATCGGTCGAGCAAGGCGATAGCTAGGCTAGGCATATGTAACACATGTCCTAACGATATGTTTCAATAGGTGTAACTTCACAGCCTCGTCTAATGATTTCCCATCCTTACATAGCGCTCGACCGATTCCTAACCTTAGTATTGCTCATGTTATTATACCACTTAACCCAGGAGATGGAACGCAACACCTATAATGAGTGACACCTGGCCTTTTCATGTCTTCCACTCTCAACGGCCATGTCTCACAGCCATGAAGGCGGACAGAGCGGACTGCTGAGCAGTACACCCGCCCTTTGATGGATAACCAGCCGGATATCCCGTCTACTAGACCAGAGATGGTGTAAGTTGGCAAACAAGTGCGAAACAAGCATTCTGTATCCATGCTAAGATTTCTTCAGTGATCAACCCGCTGGGTCTGGCTGATGCAACTACCAACGGGTTGAAAGGTGGAATTTGGCTAGGGGTTTTTTAAAACTGTAACTGTTACAAATGACGGCTAGCCAAAATTTGGGTAGCTTACACTGATTCGCTTCTCTAACTTAATATTCAGTACACCACTGATGAACTCGATCCCGAAAGAATAAAACTTTGTTTAGACGTTTAGATCACTTAGATTTGGCTAGCAACCACCATTGGTTGATGTGATTAGTTTCCAACTACTTACATCAAACAATCAGTAGTATGTACGAACATATTTTAGACTATTTTTCTAAAACAAAACTATACTTCATATATACTACTTACCAGCTAATATGAGTAATACCAGCGAGAGAACAATTAATTTTCTTGTTCTAGATACTCCACAAATAATAGAGACAAAGGTAAGAAGACCAGCTGATCCAAGTAAAATAACTGAGATTATACAGAATGACAATTGAATTTTTTCGCCATTTGTTGAAGAGTCTGTATGAAGAAACAAAATGTGAAGAACAGCGTTACAATAATAATTCCATTTGTAATACATATATATATATATATGAATTAGGTGGCTGGAGGCAATCGACAGGAAGCCCCACCCGACCTAGGTTTCGTTCCAGTTGACACTCACCAGTCACAAAGGTGTTTCTGCGACCTAGGAGGAACTCATGTCCATTCTGAGATTCGAACTCACGTCACACAGTGCCACCTCCAGTCAAAGAAGTTACAGCCCAGCTATTCGAGCTGGCTCGTGACTGACCTCCTGTAGGACTAGTCAATAGCTAGTCTAATGTGTGAGCTTGGTTCTAACTGAACTCTATCAGACGCGGGTTAGAATCCTAGAAAAGAAATTAGTTCCTTCAAGGTTGTGGATATGCCTTGTCGACTGGTGAGTACCAACCAACACGAAATTTAGCTCAACTAGTGCTTCCTGTGGCCGATTGCCTCCAGCTCTATCTAATATCATCAAATCAATGTGCACATTGATGTTGAGCCACCTAGTAGCATGATGGCCACATTGCAAACTTGACTGATAGAATTCAGTCTGGATGATACAAAGGACTAAACACACTGTAGTGACTACACTCACTAGTGTCCATTCAAAGTACATTTATATATATATATATATTCACTTAAAGAAAGCTATTATAGTGAAGCCATATGACACAGTTGAGCATTTCACTAGTGAAATAATGCGGTGCATTAGAATCTGTGGCTGGACTTATGTTTCTTACTTGTCAAACCTTACCAGTTAGATATAGATGAGTTATTTTGTTACATTTCTATGTTACATCAATAAACCAGTTCTCTTGGTTGGAGAGAGTATGATATCAACTGATAAATACCAAATTATTGTTCAAATATTTTAGAAACTAACATATGTATGCATCGCTATCAAACAAGGTGTTTGTAGTACATATAACAACCAACTAATCACTGTTAACTATGATGATGAACTAGGCAAACATGACTTTCCAAGAACGAACCATTTTCTTTCTAGATAATGGCTCCGACAAGGACTACAAATTGGATTCTGAGATCTTGGAGATCCTCTGCAAATATCATATTTGACAAGGTACAGTATTTCGTCATGTCTATCGGTAATAATATCCAGTATGAAGCCCATTACTAGTCAATACTATAATGTGTTACCTTCATATCTGAATTTATTACTTATTTACAAATGTTCTTTGTTCACTTTTTTTCCTTCACATTCCCCAGTGGAACATAGGGCCTCAAGCTAGTGACTTGAAGTTTCTGTAGCAGTGTTTATTATTTTATAGGATGGGGTTGCTAGTCTCATGCCCAGTCTTTCCTCCCCATCAGCATTATTTCTGGCTTAGAGAGGTAAAAGAGTTCGCCGGCCGGGGATCGAACACCGGACCATGCGCTTGGTCGGTGAGTGTCCTCTCTGCTGTTCCACCAGGTGAAATAATAACCAACATGTGTTCTTAATAACCAATAAGTTGAGAAAATCGATTCCAAGAACATTTAATGTCGATAAGCTGTTAAATGTGTTTTCCAGTTATCTCCCAGTTGTGATTCTGAAACTGAATGACAAAGTACCTAGGCTAGCCATCATTTATTGTACTTATCATTTCAACTGCTTCAGTGAAACCAGTTATATTAGCTGTTAGTTACTCTAGGAACTTAATTTTTTCTGTGCTTGGAAACACTTACCAGCGTGGCTAAATAAAGGTGTTCTTAAAACAATCAACAGTTTTCTATACTAGATCATCTCGTCCAAACAGATCTCAAAGCCAGGCACATTGAAGAATCTTTCTTTATCATTGGTTGGATATCGAATGAATTATCAAAGGCCTCTAGATAACAAACACTGCCAACAGCAGAGGCCATTGCAATACCACTTAAATGAACCATAGCTCTGAGTGAAAAAGAAACAAGTCCATTTGCTATTGTTACCCTGGTTTGCTGTCGAACCTATAAATCCATAATTTATATGATATTCAGTCAGTTTAGCCTTATATATTAATGCGAATTCTCTCTTTCTTACTGATACTTTCGAAATGTAATCTGTTGATACTAACTATTGATTCAATGTAATTTAAAACAGCATTATTGTTGTTAATAAGAATATTTCTTTAATTACAACTATGATATAAATGTAGGACCGGAAGGAGACAAGGTTATAAAACAATGGGAATATTCTTTATTCATTAATCACTTGTTTGAGCTATCAGCTGGTATCTACAACCAATCAGAAAGATGAAACCTAGCTTACTCACGTAATCTACTATCAAGAACATTACGAGACTGATTTATGAAAAAAAAATAAGCAAATTTGCTACAACAGTAGGACAGTAGAGAAAATTTAGCTGAGTAAAAGGAATCAAAACATCATAACTGGAAAGTAGACGTTTCAGTAAAATAAAAAGCTCCCATCTATTGACTCAAACGGTTTTTAACAGTTAAATAGATCATGTCAGCCTACATCGACTAATGACGACGAACAATATGATTCCGAATAATTAGTGCTAGCTACTATCAGGCTTCTGGATATGACCGATATATATATATGTATCTTTACTTTGACGGGACACTAGTCAGTGACTAGTGCAGAGTGTTTAATCCTTTGTATGATGCAGACTGAATTCTATCAGTCAATTTTGCAATGTGGCCACCATGCCACTGAATGGCTCACCATCAAAGTGCACACTGAATTGTTGATATTAGGTGGTTGAAGGCAATCGGTAGGAAGCTCAGTTTAACCTGGGTTTCGTACTGGTTGGTACTCACCAGTCGACAAGGCGTATCAGTAACCTTGAAGGAACTCATGTCCCTTCTGAGATTCGAAACCGCATCTAATCGAATTCCGCCTGTGCCAGAGATAGGATCAGGCTCACAAATTACACTAGCTATTGACTAGTCCTACAGGAGGTCAGTCATGAGCCAGCCCGAATAGCTCAGTTGTAACATCTCTGACAGCAGGTGGCACTGTGTGACATGGGTTTGAATCTAAGAATGGACATGAATTCCTTCAAGGTCTCAGACACGCCTCTATGATTGGTGAGTGGCAACTGGAACAAAACCTAGGTCAGGTAAGTCTCCCTATTGATTGCCTCCAAACACTTAATCTATATATATATATATATATATATATATATATATATATATATATATATATATATATATATATATATATATATATAATTACCTCCAAATGCATATTATTCGCCTCCTCACTAAATAAAGCAGACCACACATTGTGTTATTCGTTATTTTAACTGGCTTCAGAAATAAGAGAAAATAAATTGTTTAGAAATGTGTACCTCATTAGATCGCAAAATTTATTTTACGCCTCTTGAAATTTGAATCTTCATTTTATGTAGGATACCTAATGGAACAGTGGAATGTTTTGTTCACACACTGTACCGTGTACATCATACCATTTTGCCAAGATAATTTTCTTAGAGAAATTTTTGTAAAAAATCAAAGTAGCATTAAGAGTTAAGCAGGTGATGCTAAGTGATTCATCTTATTATTTCTCACTGATTCGAGATGAATTTTCGTCTTTAAAATATCTACATATATTTATTTGTGATGACTTATTTTATTTTCATGAAATATAGAGAATGAGGAACCATTTTTAAAAAAAATTTTAGTCTTCTTTGTTTATAGGTGGGTGTCTAAATTTCTGGCTGCGAATTAATTTCTCTTTAATTATAAAAATTAATACAAACGATTTCCGAAATTTTCAAAATTTAAAATTAGCGGCTCTTGAATATTTTTTTGCAAAATGAAGCACTTAAACAAAACTTGGCTTAGCAAACTACCTTTTTTGACTTTAGTTAACAATGAAACTATATTGTTTCAATCACTTGTTAAGCATAATTAATTTACATTTAGATAATAATTGCTCTTATTATTAAGAATAAGAGTGACAGTACTGGTGTCCTAAGATTGGTTACGAGAAGGCTGCAGTCAGAGGACTACTGAAAACCAATGATGTAGATCTTGTATCCTAGTTTAGGACTCTTCATTAGAGCATACCTGTGACCCAGCCAAGGAATGAGTCTAGGATCTTCAGGTTACAGGGTGAGGTCCTCCACCAAGTTGAGTGTTAGAAAAAATACTGGTCGGTGACACTGGTTAGCAGTCATGGTATACATTGCTAGTTGGCAGAAATTACATTTGATAGGTCATTAAACTCTGCCTCGGGGACTGAATGATATACAAACTCGTCTTGTTGGCTGTAGGTTTTTTTGGGTTCGACTCTTCGAATTGTCATTGGTTCCATGAGTCTCAAATTAGGATGAAGCAGATGTCTAGTACCCTCTGGTTTTCAGTGATTGTCAAGCTGATGTCATTTTGTGACCAAACTTAAAATCGATCAAATCTTTACAAATTATTGTTATTATTATTATTCCTTTGGGTTCCGAGTGGAATAGAGGGCTTCAGCATCACATCTTCAAATCTCTACAAATAAAATCTTGAAAATGATTATATTTGTTGGACAGTTCTTAGCTTAGAAAATGATCTACCAACACCAATATCTAATACGGAAAAGCAAGAGTGGTAACATAAATAATAAGGAATAAATAAACAATAAGAAATTCGAAGCCTCGATAGTACTGCCATATAAAGGAGGAACAACTGAAGCCCTGGGTATGATTATTAATGAGACTGATATCAGTTAGACAATCACTGAAAATCATGGCGTACCGGACAGCTGTTTCATTCTAGTCTGGGTATTATCGGCAGTACGTAAACATTTCGGTTCGAACCCAGGAACTTCCGTTTACATCGCCAGCTCGTATACATTTCAGCCACTGGGACCCAATTCAGTGACCAACCCACGGGCTCTAACTTCTGCCAATTAGTAATGCATTTAGCACGACCACAAACTAATGTCGTCTGTGAAAAATCCATCCAAACTCCTGACTAAATATACCCCAATGGTCACAACTTTTGATTAGAACTTCAAGGAATTCCGTCCCGCAACAAGTCACTAGTGAGCATCGGAT